CTTTCTGCTTCTCCATGGTGTGTGCCGTGTGACCAGTCACCTCGAGGTCCTGCCACTATGACTTCCCTGCCATGAAGAACTGTAGCCTCCCACAGTGAACCAGATTAAAACCTTTCTTACATCATTTTTTAAATCAAGTATTTTGTCACAGCAATGACAAAAGTAACTATCTTGTCTGAGGCTGAGAAAGTAGATAACCAGCGTCAGACCTTAAGCCCATGACTTTTCTTAAAAAATCTAAAATCTTAAATACCCCTATTCTGGAGGAGCCTATAAACTCAGAAGATTTTTCTCTCCCTTGACTCACTTCTGCACAGCACAGATCCCTGACATTTGGAGTTTCAGAACAATGCACAATGATTTAAGTCTGCACTCTAATACTTCATTAATGCATTTCAGTTTTTTAGTCATGTCTTAGTCATAGACATTCTGGAATGGATTGCTTCATAAACCAAATTTAGAACATCTATTTAACTACAAATAATTTTTTGTAAATAATGATCGACAAATGGAATTATTCCACTTCTATTGTGACACATTGACAGGTTATTAAAATATATGTGTTCTTATGGTTAATTTTTTTTTACCAGTGTCATGGAAAATGGAGATAATAAAACCATACTGAAAAGGAACAATGGTGTGTGTGTGTGTGTGTGTCTGTGTGTGTGTGTGTGTCTGTGTGTGTATGTGCAGAAGAAGAAGTTAAGGGAGCTGAAGTCAAGTAGTCCTTACATTCCATTGATCTAGTCCCTGGAATCCTGACAGGTTCATCATTGTGTTAAAACCTTCACCACAGGAAGCTGATACTGTGTTCAGCACAGGCTGCTTGGTATTTGTGATGCATCTATTATACATCTTTCATACCCAACAAGGATTTGATAAGACAGATTTATGATAAGGAACACTGCCATTCTGTTACTTCCTTTAGTGATTGTGCAGGCAGTCTGAGCAAGGGAGATTGAAACCCACTTCAAATCCACTTTGACTGTTGCTCCCATCCAGTCCCAAGTTTAACAATCTTTTCCAGGGCTGAGACAGTTTTGCATATGTGGGTTTGCATTTTATTGGTTCTCTTCCCTCCAAAATGGGGGACAGTTTTATAAAGCAATGACTCTCCCAGCAAGTCCTTTCCTGAACAAAAGGACATAGCTGCTCCAATGGTTGGCATCTGGTTACTCCTAGTCAGCTCATAAGGACCCAGGGTCATGTTACCGTTCCTTGGCAGTCTATGTAAACAAAGTAGAGCCCCCAACTATGACAGGCTATATTCACTTAGTGTTTGTAGTGCAGCCTCCTCAAAGCTTACCAACCATGGTGAAATGCAGATGAGATTTTAGTCCCTCTGAGGTGGGGCCTGAGCATTGCCTAACAGACTCCTGGATGCCATGAATGCTGTTGACCTGTGTACTCACTTTGAGGAACAAGATTTTAGAGTTTGCCATGCGTTTGCTCTGTCATCCTGTTCAGGCCTCACAGAACACCCATAAGGTACCTACCTGCTCATCCCCATTTCAGGAAGCAGACACAAGTTGGGCCACGTGAACAACTTGCCCAGGGCTGAATAGCTGCCAAGACGTATACTCAGCCGTCTGAGTCCACTGCGCTTTTTCTCCCACACGGCTGTGTCTTTGTTGGCATATATCTATTCTTAGCCTATGACATGTCTCAAGAAATGCTACACATCCCAGCTTGTATTTTCTGAGTGCTTTATGGTGTTTGCTGGCCACACATTTGCTATGTCCCTACACTTTATACATCCAGAGGTAGGTATAAAACCCTTTTGTTTCCTATTTTAACTATATATACTGACGCTTAATTAATGTTTGGGGGCTCAACTATTTATGAATGCATAGGACACCAAGCAATACAGGCAAGAACACAGATGATGGTAGAGTGAAAACAGGGACAGCGGCATCAACAGTGTGAGTGCATCAAAGCTTGTGGGTGAGCGCTGGGCTTCGGGACTTCCAAATCTTGATTATGGTCTCTTACAAAAATATGTGACATTGACTCGGTTATTTAACTTCCCTATGCTTTGTTTTTCTTATGAAAAAGAGATAATATGGTTTTTATGCCCACTAAAAATCTAATTCACAGCAGGTCCCAATGTCTATGAAGCACTCAAAATAATCAGCCATCTTTAGTGTCCAGAGTTAATATTGAAGTTTAGCAACTTCTCTTCATAGTAGTGACTATAATCAAAGGAGCATCATAGTCATATTTTACATCTTCCTAACAGGTTTTATTAAAATATAAAAAAGTAGCAATAAAAATATTTTAAAAATAGCAATCACATCTACTGCTCATCACAGTCTAAACTTTTTAATAAGGAGCCAGTGACTCAAAAGGCTTAAGTGGTTTCAGTGTTCATTTACAAATAGTTACGGCACTTTCACTGTGTAACAGGCATTGACTGGTTGATGACAAGTCAGGAGGTGACTGAACTCAGACCCTTTGATTTCTGTTCTCTGATGTACATGAACATGCCACTGCACAGTTCTTTGGCAACAGTATCGCCATCCCCCAGGTAGCATCCAACTGAGCACACTGACCTAAGTGGCTACCACACTATCTTTTTCCCCTTATTTGTCCCAGGGGAAGCCTGGGAGTGTACAACAAGAGATGAGGCTTAAACTGAGCTGTGATGCTGCAGACCTAGCTGAATGGGTACCTGGGTGTGTGGTCAGAGGGGCTCTGGCACTTGTCATACTCTGCCCTGCTGAGTTCCCAGCCTCACCCAGAGACTGGTGGTTTTAGGGCCAGCACAGCCGCCTGGCTAGTTAGTGCTACCAGCAATTCTCTTTTCCAGCGTGATAAGGAATTGGGTTACACTAGACTGGGGGTGGGGCAGTTGTTCGCAACTGACCCTCCTGCCACATTAGGCAGTTCTGTTTCAACTAGATTTAAAGCCTTTGTCTTCAAAGAATTCTCTGGCTCTGCGCTTCTGTGCTTCTGTTCAGAGCAGCCTCTCCCCTGGACATTGAATTTCAGGTGAGGCAGCTGGTGTGCAACTAAGGGATAAGCACAGAGGGTAATAGAAACCTTCTATTACTTATGGGAAACCAGGTACAGTGCAAATAAACAGCAAAGAAGTGCAAATGAATCTGAGAGAGACTGTGAATACTCATAACTCCCAAGGGGATAGTGCCCATCTTTAGAAACTGAGTAGCTTAGCATTCCACAGCTTTGTATTTCCATCTTCATTTAGAACACAAATTTATGGGCACTGGTGGCAACCAGAGGGTCATGTTGCCTTAAAAACTAAACCTTTTATTGAAAATATTTCTCTGCCATTGAAAAGCCCCTCAGTGTTATTACACAAGCTCCTCCTTCAGTAATACTGACAGTGATGCTTCCTGTGTGTGAAGCTTGTGTGTGCAGAAAATCCAGAAATGTTGAAAATAGTACTTCACAGTCATCCTACCCCAGGGGAATTCACTGCCCTACATACAGTGCTTTTGGATGACAGGGGATAAAGGGCTCCAAATGGTAGGGTATGTGAGGAGGAAGATGCTGTGGTTATTGAACGTGAAGTTAGTTTCCAAGGAACCAATTTGGATACACTTGAACACTTGGACAAAGCTCAATTTAGAAAACTGTTTATCAGAGCAATACATACACATGGCTTCAAGACCTCTAAGCTCATGCTGAAACTATAGTTCTCTCATACACAGCTTTCCATTCAACACAGGAAATCATTTTCTTCTACTTCGGTTAATTATTGGGATTGTACTGGGTCCATTTTTAATAATATACAAATTCTGCTATTGTCTATCAAGTTTAGAGGCAGTTATTAGTGTGCTTACCTCCCACCCCATCCTCCAATATATTTGTATCAAAGTTCTGCAGCAATTCATTTTGCTTTTTGCAGTTATCAGTCATGGTTAAGCAGTCATATGATCATACTTTCCGTAAACGTTTATTGTTCTTGCTCTCTGCTTTCTGCAGCTGTCAGGACATTGTCATCAGTTGTACTTTGTTAGGCTGACGACCAGAATTTGCCCAACACATCACCACTCTCCACATCTCTCCTGGAAGCATATTCACATAGATTGTTTTCTGCTGGTGCCTGTCCAACCTCACTGAGCTGCAAACTGCAAGGCCCCACCAGAGCCCAGATTCCTAAGTAGGAGTTAGTGGTGGCAGGGTTGGTGAGATGGCTCAGCTGGTAAAGGGATGTGCTGTCAAGCCTCACGGTGAGTTCCATCTCCAGAACCCACGTGGTAGAGGGAGAGAACCAATTCCCAAAAGTTATCCTTGGCCTTCACACGTGCACTGTGGTATTCTTACATCCACATGCACACACATGCACACACATGCACACACATGCACACACACACATAAATATATGTAATAAAAAATTTTTAAGAAGGAAGAGAGAGCAACATTAATAAAGACAAGAGGGAAGCCTGTGATGGGATTGTCTGGAAAGAGTTTTGTGAGATCTTAGATGCTGCATGTCCACCACAGCGTGGATGCCAAGTTGGAGAGTAGTTTTACAATCACAGCTGCAGAGTTTTGTTCTCTTTATAAATAAGCCATGAACGTTTGTGCAGCCTAAAAATTGATTCCAGTCAGTAATGTACAGAACTTGGAATCATCCCCTCCATGTTTTGCCATCAGGCCCCTCTTGACTGTGTCCTCCCCCTTTGCCACTGGTTGAGGAAAGCCAGACAGCAGAGTGCGCTGCCCTCCACCTTCCTCCATGGACCTTGGCAACAGGAAGCAAGAGGGATCAAGCACATGCAAGACTTCTGTCTCTCTCATCTTTGTCCCCATCTTGGTGTCTGTCTGATCTATCTGTCTGCCTTTCTCTTTCTGTCTCTGAAGGAGAAGGAGGAATAACACAAAGAATCAGAGCATGTGCACATACATACCCACTGATTTCCTCTGGATTTTTATTGATCCCTCTCTGGTTTGTTTAAGACCTTGGATACACATATCAGAATACACCTTAAACTTTGAGATAGAAACACACAAAGAAATATCCTTTCGAAATGTCAACTTGCCAGATTTTGTCTTTAATTCCTCTCTCTGAGGATGAGAACCTCCCCAGAATGGCTCTTCTGCTTGCTGGTGGGTGACTAGAGAAATGGAAGAGGTGGTAAAGGGTGGACATACTGGCAGGAAAAGAATTCTGGGAAGCTTGATTCCTGCGGTGTTTCTGACTTCAAATCCTGAATACAGAAAAAGAAGACATTATTTCCAATGACCAGTTAGTCCAGATCTTAAGCTAAGGATTAGAGTAAAAGATACTGGTGAGTATCTACAATAAAAACTGAAAATTGCTATTTTACCTTATCTATTCCGGAAATACTCCTTCCAGGGACAGAAACAACGCTCAAAATATTTACGAAGTCTTGAGCCTCTCAAGGTCCCTGGGGACTCCTGTACTCTCTCTCTCTCTCTCTCTCTCTCTCTCTCTCTCTCTCTCTCTCTATATATATATATATATATATATCTAGGCTTTTCACTGGTATTTGATCTAACCAAGCATGAATTGAGATTTTCTTTCCAAAATTTTCACCCCAAGAGGCATAATTTAAAGAAGGAAAAACAAAGCCTAGACAAGCTTTTAAATCTAATGTAAAAGGAAAAAGGAAATGTTTGATTAATTGGTGGAGTTAATATATTTGAAGATGGACTCTTTGATTCATAAAACAAAGGAAGATGATCTACAGAAGGTCTAAAGATCAAAACACTGCCCATGAGTAAAGCTGACCCCTATTCTCAAGAGAAGATGCTAAATGAGCCGGTGTCCTATGCCTTGGGTCCTCTTAGTAGGAGTATCTCTAATCCTGGAGGTAGCTAACTCGGCATGGACCAACCTGATGCATGGACCTTGCTCTTAACATTCCTAGTTCTAAACCTGTGTTTTCTGAGAAAACTTCTGATTTTACTTAGGCTTTCTATATTGAGTTTCTTACGTGAGCAAATATTTGTGCTGCCTTGAATAGCCCAGTCTGTCTGGCAGCTTTGATTCTTACTGCAAATGAACAGCCCTTTGTCTGTGTATCACTTGTCTGAGAGGTGGGTTTTTATAAGCCCAACCACCAGAGGGCTAACATATTATGGCACACTAATAAAATTAAATTAATTAGCCTGCAAATTTGAAGTGGTCCAAGAAACTTACTCTCTTTGTGTTTGTAAACCTGTTCCTGCCATTTCCAAAGCTTAGAGTTCAAATAGAAGGTCTCAGGCTTGTGTCATAACTTGTTTTCTTTTCCACCAAAGAATCTTTCCTTCCTGCCAGGAAACACATGAGAGTGCATGAGGCTCCCAGGCACTGGGGTCCACTCTGTGGCTATCTCTCAGGTTTAGGGGTGTGCATATGGGAATGACTTTTTTTGGGAATAAAAACCCAGGGGTGATCAAACCAGGCTTCATGTCATTTCCAAGACTATTTGCTGATGGTCTGGAGGAGAGGGGTTGACCTCAGGGTGGAAAAAAATCTTTGCTTGATGATCTCTAAACCTCTGGAGATGGGTTTGACGAGAGGAAAGCCAGAGTAAGGCCGAGGCTGGAGACCTGGTTGCCCAGTCCTAACACTAATATTGCCCGCTTGATTTTTTTCCCCACACTTTAAGTTCCTGTAGGAGTGGTCACACTGCTTCTTCAGGTGACCATGGTATTTCAGTTCTCCCAAACTGTAATCACGCCTAACAGAATTTATTTTGTCAAATTGTGGTCTAATAGGAATTTGATAGGAGCCTCTGGACTATAAGCAAAGTGATATCTTATTTGAAATTGCCCTGCGGAGAACTAGAAATAACTTTGGGGATCTCTATTAACATTTATATAGGTTCCTCAGATTGTAGTCCAAGACCATGGCCTCATTTGTTTTAATTAGAGGGTCAAGGACAAAAAGACTTTACTTAACTGCTAATGGAAGTTCTTTAATCTGAATGAACCTGAGCCATTTGGCCCAGGAAAAATAGCACAGAGTGTCAGCAAATGACATTCAAATGGTTTAAAATAAGCTAATCTTCCAGAGCTCTGTGCTTGACTGATGGAAATGAGAATTGGAAAGGAACAAAGTGGAACCTACTTTCTTACAAATGTGCTTCGGGGCAGAATGGTTGCAAAAGTGATCACATTTTGTTCCAAGAGATTTCACTGCACGAATACTCCATCTGACCTTGCTTACAGAACAAAGCCATAGAGCTGCATTAACTCGGGGGCAAAAAGGGTTGTAATCTCCTTGGCCAGCTGGTCTAGCATCTAGGTTATACAGTGGGGAGAGGAAGAGAAAAACATGAACACATTGTGGCATAGCCCTTTCATCCAACCCTCTGATAGACAATACCTTAAAATTAAATGAATAGGAAATCAATGTTGCCAAAGTCCTGGGTGGGACAAAAGGTTGTCCCTTTCTGATAATACTGGAATGGCTGAAGAGGTGTGACAGGAGAGACTGGCCTTTCTGTTCATTCAGTTTTATTCCAGGTCAATCATTCATTCAGCAAATATTTAGTACTTGCTAAATGTAAGGCACTGTTC